GGATGACAAGTGTTTTTCTTGGTCTACATGTCCTGGCTGACAGGTGTTTTTCTTGGTCTATGTGTCCTGGCTGACAAGTGTTTGTATGGTCTACATGTCCTGGCTGACAAGTGTTTTTCTTGGTCTATGTGTCCTGGCTGACAAGTGTTTTTCTTGGTCTACATGTCCTGGACTGACAAGTGTTTTTCTTGGTCTATGTGTCCTGGCTGACAAGTGTTTTTCTTGGTCTAGTGTCCTGGCTGACAAGTGTTTTTCTTGGTCTACATGTCCTGGCTGACAGGTGTTTTTCTTGGTCTAAGTGTTCTGGCTGACAAGTGTTTTTCTTGGTCTATGTGTTCTGGCTGACAAGTGTTTGTATGGTCTACATGTCCTGGCTGACAAGTGTTTTTCTTGGTCTATGTGTCCTGGCTGAAAGGTGTTTTTCTTGGTCTGTGTGTCCTGGCTGACAAGTGTTTTTCTTGGTCTATGTGTTCTGGCTGACAAGTGTTTTTCTTGGTCTATGTGTTCTGGCTGACAAGTGTTTTTTTTTTGGTCTATGTGTCCTGGCTGACAAGTGTTTTTCTTGGTCTACATGTCCTGGCTGACAAGTGTTTTTCTTGGTCTATGTGTTCTGGCTGACAAGTGTTTTTCTTGGTCTATGTGTTCTGGCTGACAAGTGTTTTTCTTGGTCTACATGTCCTGGCTGACAGGTGTTTTTCTTGGTTTATGTGTCCTGGCTGACAGGTGTTTTTCTTGGTCTATGTGTTCTGGCTGACAAGTGTGTTTTTTTTGGTCTATGTGTCCTGGCTGACAAGTGTTTTTCTTGGTCTATGTGTCCTGGCTGACAAGTGTTTTTCTTGGTCTATGTGTTCTGGCTGACAAGTGTTTTTCTTGGTCTATGTGTCCTGGTTGACAAGTGTTTTTCCTGGTCTACATGTCCTGGCTGACAAGTGTTTTTCTTGGTCTATGTGTCCTGGCTGACAAGTGTTTGTATGGTCTACATGTCCTGGCTGACAAGTGTTTTTCTTGGTCTATGTGTCCTGGCTGACAAGTGTTTTTCTTGGTCTACATGTCCTGGCTGACAAGTGTTTGTTTTTTTGGTCTATGTGTCCTGGCTGACAAGTGTTTTTCTTGGTCTATGTGTTCTGGCTGACAAGTGTTTTTCTTGGTCAATGTGTTCTGGCTGACAAATGTTGTTTTTTTTGTCTATGTGTCCTGGCTGACAAGTGTTTTTCTTGGTCTACATGTCCTGGCTGACAGGTGTTTTTCTTGGTTTATGTGTCTTGGCTGACAGGTGTTTTTCTTGGTCTATGTGTTCTGGCTGACAGGTGTTTTTCTTGGTCTAGGTGTTCTGGCTGACAAGTGTTTTTTTTTTTGTCTATGTGTCCTGGCTGACAAGTGTTTTTCTTGGTCTACATGTCCTGGCTGACAGGTGTTTTTCTTGGTTTATGTGTCCTGGCTGACAGGTGTTTTTCTTGGTCTATGTGTTCTGGCTGACAAGTGTTTTTTTTTTGGTCTATGTGTCCTGGCTGACAAGTGTTTTTTTTTTGGTCTATGTGTCCTGGCTGACAAGTGTTTTTCTTGGTCTATGTGTCCTGGCTGACAAGTGTTTTTCTTGGTCTATGTGTTCTGGCTGACAAGTGTTTTTTTTTGGGTCTATGTGTCCTGGCTGACAAGTGTTTTTCTTGGTCTACATGTCCTGGCTGACAGGTGTTTTTCTTGGTCTAAGTGTTCTGGCTGACAAGTGTTTCTCTTGGTCTATGTGTTCTGGCTGACAAGTGTTTGTTTTTTTGGTCTATGTGTCCTGGTTGACAAGTGTTTGTATGGTCTACATGTCCTGGATGACAAGTGTTTTTTTGGTCTATGTGTCCTGGTTGACAAGTGTTTTTCCTGGTCTACGTGTCCTGGATGACAAGTGTTTTTCTTGGTCTATGTGTTCTGGCTGACAAGTGTTTTTTTTTGGGTCTATGTGTCCTGGCTGACAAGTGTTTTTCTTGGTCTACATGTCCTGGCTGACAGGTGTTTTTCTTGGTCTAAGTGTTCTGGCTGACAAGTGTTTCTCTTGGTCTATGTGTTCTGGCTGACAAGTGTTTGTTTTTTTGGTCTATGTGTCCTGGTTGACAAGTGTTTGTATGGTCTACATGTCCTGGATGACAAGTGTTTTTTTGGTCTATGTGTCCTGGTTGACAAGTGTTTTTCCTGGTCTACGTGTCCTGGATGACAAGTGTTTTTCTTGGTCTATGTGTTCTGGCTGACAAGTGTTTGTTTTTTTGGTCTATGTGTCCTGGCTGACAAGTGTTTGTATGGTCTACATGACCTGGCTGACAAGTGTTTTTCTTGGTCTATGTGTCCTGGCTGACAAGTGTTTTTCTTGGTCTACATGTCCTGGCTGACAGATGTTGTTCTTGGTCTATGTATTCTGGCTGACAAGTGATTTTCTTGGTCTATGTGTTCTGGCTGACAAGTGTTTTTTTTTTGGTCTATGTGTCCTGGCTGACAAGTGTTTTTCTTGGTCTACATGTCCTGGCCGACAGGTGTTTTTCTTGGTCTATGTGTTCTGGCTGACAAGTGTTTTTCTTGGTCTATGTGTTCTGGCTGACAAGTGTTTGTTTTTTTGGTCTATGTGTCCTGGTTGACAAGTGTTTGTATGGTCTACATGTCCTGGCTGACAAGTGTTTTTCTTGGTCTATGTGTCCTGGCTGACAAGTGTTTGTATGGTCTACATGTCCTGGCTGACAAGTGTTTTTCTTGGTATATGTGTCCTGGCTGACAAGTGTTTGTATGGTCTACATGTCCTGGATGACAAGTGTTTTTCTTGGTATATGTGTCCTGGCTGACAAGTGTTTGTTTTTCTTGGTCTATGTGTCCTGGATGACAAGTGTTTGTATGGTCTACATGTCCTGGCTGACAAGTGTTTGTTTTTCTTGGTCTATGTGTTCTGGCTGGCAAGTGTTTGTTTTTCTTGCTCTATGTGTCCTGGTTGACAAGTGTTTGTATGGTCTACATGTCCTGGCTGACAAGTGTTTTTCTTGGTCTATGTGTTCTGGCTGGCAAGTGTTTGTTTTTCTTGGTCTATGTGTTCTGGCTGACAAGTGTTTGTTTTTCTTGGTCTATGTGTCCTGGTTGACAAGTGTTTGAATGGTCTACATGTCCTGGCCGACAGGTGTTTGTTTTTCTTGGTCTATGTGTTCTGGCTGACAAGTGTTTGTTTTTCTTGGTCTATGTGTCCTGGTTGACAAGTGTTTGTATGGTCTACATGTCCTGGCTGACAAGTGTTTGTTTTTCTTGGTCTATGTATTCTGGCTGGCAAGTGTTTGTTTTTCTTGGTCTATGTGTCCTGGTTGACAAGTGTTTGAATGGTCTACATGTCCTGGCCGACAGGTGTTTGTTTTTCATGGTCTATGTGTCCTGGTTGACAAGTGTTTGAATGGTCTACATGTCCTGGCTGACAAGTGTTTGTTTTTCTTGGTCTATGTGTTCTGGCTGACAAGTGTTTGTTTTTCTTGGTCTATGTGTCCTGGTTGACAAGTGTTTGTATGGTCTACATGTCCTGGCTGACAAGTGTTTGTTTTTCTTGGTCTATGTATTCTGGCTGGCAAGTGTTTGTTTTTCTTGGTCTATGTGTCCTGGATGACAAGTGTTTGTATGGTCTACATGTCCTGGCTGACAAGTGTTTGTTTTTCTTGGTCTATGTATTCTGGCTGGCAAGTGTTTGTTTTTCTTGGTCTATGTGTCCTGGTTGACAAGTGTTTGTATGGTCTACATGTCCTGGCTGACAAGTGTTTGTTTTTCTTGGTCTATGTATTCTGGCTGGCAAGTGTTTGTTTTTCTTGGTCTATGTGTCCTGGCTGACAAGTGTTTGTATGGTCTACATGTCCTGGATGACAAGTGTTTTTCTTGGTCTATGTGTCCTGGCTGACAAGTGTTTGTCTAGTCTATGTGCCCTGGGTTACAATTTGTGAATTGAACTCCGACATATATTTTGGGGTGATCTCTCAAAAAAACGCTTGGAATAAATGCTACATGCATTATTGCCATAATAGCTGACATTAGTCATAATTTTTTTATTATTTTTCCTGGACATAATTTAACATTGGCTACAGGTCAAGAAGATAAAAGTTGAGTTTGAAGTTCCAAAAGTCAAATTAAAACAGAGCCACAGAAAGTTTGATGTACCTTCTTTCATTAAGTAAGTCAGCCCAAAGCGGAGATGATCCAAGATCTAATGGACATGTCGTCATGCTGTCAGCTATACCAGTACTGCCATCACTAAATTTATATGACAGCCAATTACCTATGAATCAATCAGAAGTTTTAATGTCAATTATATCACATGAATCAATTATTTATTAGATGGGAAGGGAATGCAGCTGAAAACATTTTTTATTAGAAATCAATCAAGTAGTGAAAACAATAAAACATACAAGTCATTGAAAATGACACAGTTCCCATTAAATTTTTGAAAGTTCTCTTTGTGCTCATCATATTAAAGCGAAGGGGTTGTCGCGAGCGTGTCCTTGAAACTTGAGTTCCAAGTGTCGTATACAACAGATTGTTTATTTACATCAAAACACGTGTTCTGTGTAGTAGTAATATGGCCAAAAATAAAAACAGCCGTTATTCGGCCATCTTTGATCTGATTATGAAACACACTGATATGTATGATGTATGTGCCAAATACGAATAAAAATGTGGAAATATAGTAGTGAGGCCAAAAAGTCAGATTGCTGTCAATCGACCATCCTTGACCAGATTTTGAAACAAATTTTCATGGACATGCATCCTAACATGTATAAAGTACATGTATGTGCCAAATTTGAATGAAAACTGACAGAGCACGTCCAAGATATTGCATAAAAAAAAACAAGATGCCTGCCAGTCGACCATCTTTGATCCAATTGCGAAATAAATCATCATGGACATGTATCCTAACATGTATAATCTATGTACCAAGTTTGAATGACAACTGACAAAGCATGTCCAAAATACAACATTTTCAAAAAACAAGATGGCTGCCAGTCGGCCATTTTGAATCAAATCACTGAACCACTGCATGTGCATATGTCCCACATAAAGTACTAGGCACATGCAAAGAATGAACGCAATAGGTCCAAGGGATTCTGAGATACGACTCCGGACGGACACACGGACACACAGACGCACGAACGGAGACCAAATTATAAGTCCCCGTTTTCGGACTTTGTCCGAACGGGGACTAAAAAGTTCATTAAACCTGTATAGATGTGTTTGATATTTGAAAAATCCGCATCACATTCAATTGATCTAATTCCATAACGGTTGGGATTTCACACTTTTCACTGACTCAC